CCCCCCCCCCCCCTACTTATCTAAAAGTAGAAATAAATCAATTTGGCTGGAGTATGGCTTTAGTTATGTCTCTGACATCATGTACATGAAGGTTGGATATCATAAGACAGGTGACATAACCCAAAAATTCCCTTTTGTAAAAGTTCCAACCAGAGCTGCCTGAGGTAACCCATCATATCAATTGTTCAAGTAAAATTTAAACAAAATAAGTCAAAATAGTTACCAAAATTCTGTGTAATACCCACAAGGGACATGAACACCAGCCCTCTAAAGCTACCACTGTTGTAGTAGGTTTCCCCCCAATTTTTTTTCCTCCTTAAGCTACTGTTGGCATTGTAGCTGTGCCCCAGTCAGCCATCTTGGATGGGGACCACTCACGTCACCCAAGCAGCGCGCTCAGTACCACGTGACCAGAGCTCAGCGCTGCACGCGGGCTCCCTCTGTCGGTCATGGTCCAGATCGCGCCACGGTGCATATTGGGAAGGAGGATACCGCCATATTGGGACGGCTGGGTGCGGTAAGATGGCAGCTGAAGCGTCGTGTGACTTTGTTGCCAGGGTAACGAGATTAAAACTTGGAGGCGAAAGTAATGGAGGGACGTACACCGAAAGACCAGAGAGGCTGAATAAAAGGTGCATTTACATACAGACGTTCTGCCTTGAGAAACCTTACAGAGACGGATAGAAGACTCTCTAGAGACAGGCTGAGAAGCCAGGGAGCGGACAAATTAACAGAGGGGGAGTTATAAAAACTGGAGCAGACACAATTTGGAGCAGTTGCCCATGGTAACCAATCACCTTCTCTCTTTCATTTTTAAAGCTTAACTAAATAAACTGAAGAGAGAAGCTGATTGGTTGCCATCGGCAACTGCTCCAAATTGTGTCTGCTTCAGTTTTGACATCCTCCCAGAGACTGACTGACTGATGGACATTCTCCCATAGACTGACTGACCGACATTCTCCCAGAGACTGACGGACGGACATCTTTCCAAAGACTGACTGACGGACGGACATCTTTCCAAAGACGGACGGACGGACATCTTTACAGAGACTGACGAACGGACATCTTTCCACAGACTGAGGGACGGACATCTTTCCAGAGACGGACGGACAGACATCTTTCCAGAGACTGACTGATGGACGGAGAGGCCCCCATAGACTGAGTAACAGACGGATGGACAGGCTCCAGAGACTATAGAGGACTGGGACTCGGGGTACACGCTGTATGATCTGGAGGTGTAGAGGACTGGGACTCGGGGTACACGCTGTATGATCTGGAGGTGTAGAGGACTGGGACTCCAGGGACACACTGTCACATCTGGAGGTGTAGAGGACTGTGACTCCGGGGACACACTGTCACATCTGGAGGTGTAGAGGACTGTGACTCCGGGGACACACTGTCACATCTGGAGGTGTAGAGGACTGTGACTCCGGGGACACACTGTCACATCTGGAGGTGTAGAGGACTGTGACTCCGGGGACACACTGTCACATCTGGAGGTGTAGAGGACTGTGACTCCGGGGACACACTGTCACATCTGGAGGTGTAGAGGACTGGGACTCCGGGTACACGCTGTATGATCTGGAGGTGTAGAGGACTGTGACTCCGGGGACACACTGTCACATCTGGAGGTGTAGAGGACTGGGACTCCGGGTACACGCTGTATGATCTGGAGGTGTAGAGGACTGTGACTCCGGGGACACACTGTCATATCTGGAGGTGTAAAGGACTGTGACTCCGGGGACACACTGTCATATCTGGAGGTGTAGAGGACTGGGACTCCGGGGACACACTGTCGTATCTGGAGGTGTAAAGGACTGTGACTCCGGGGACACACTGTCATATCTGGAGGTGTAGAGGACTGGGACTCCGGGGACACACTGTCGTATCTGGAGGTGTAGAGGACTGTGACTCCGGGGACACACTGTCGTATCTGGAGGTGTAAAGGACTGGGACTCCGGGGACACGCTGTATGATATACAGGTGAAACTGGAATAATTAGAATATCGTGCAAAGTTCATTTATTTCACTAATGCAACTTATGCGGTGAAACTAATATATGAGAGAGACACATTACATGCAAAGCAAGATAGTTCAAGCCGTGATTTGTCATACTTGTGATGATTATGGCTTACAGCTCATGAAAACCCCAAGAACCCCAAATCCACAACCTCAGAAAAGTAGATTATTACATGCAATCAATAAAACAAGGATTGTACATAGAACAATATCGGACCTCTGAAAAGTACAAGCATGCATATGTACTCAGTACTTGGTTTGGGCCCCTTTTGCAGCACTTACTGCAATTACTTTTGCACGATATTCTAATTATTCGAGTTTCACCTGTATATATATAATAGGTTCTGTATCTCTGCTGACAGGCTATGACA